TGAAAAGTTGTGAAATTTATTGGACCAACAAAAAAGTGGAGAAGAGAGTTGGCAGGGACGATACGGCACCGTATTAGAGGACAATTGTTAATTAATGGCACCTCCTTTTAACATCACATCTTTTCCTTCCTAAAGTTGTCCTTTGGCAGTGAAGGAGGGACCATTTTTTATTTATTTATTATCTTTTTAAATTTTAAAAATGATATCAAATATTTAAAATAAAATTAGATGCTTCAATGTAATTTCCGTCTTCGGCTCAATTTAACTAATGGAGAGATGAGATCCTACAAATTGTGAAATCGCACATGAATTGGAGAGGGGAACGAAGCATGACTTATAAGAAGGTGTGGAAACCTCTTTTTAGTAGACGTATTTTAAAATCGTGAAATTGATGACCATAGATAACTAGCTAAAGCGGATAATATCTGTTAGCGGTAAGTTTTAGGTGTTACAAATGCTATCATGACCAGACACTGACCAGTGTGACAGCGAAGACGTTGAACTCTCAAAAAGATAAATTGTGAGATTCCATATTGGTTCGAGAACCAGCAAGAACACTGGGTGTGACAACCTAGTTATGAAAAGAGTAGTTTGTGATCTCCATGTTGCGACAAGAGAAACGGCGACCCTCAAGTGGTGCACATCTAACCACGCGAGGATCTAGACAAGTGCCATGATGCGACCAAGGAGGATGATGCATCATCTAACACACCACACATAGTGGACATTGATGACAAGTCGAGGCATAAGCAAAATAGAGACATCAAATAGACAAGAGTGGCAAAGATAGGCTTGTTAAAGGGCCGGGTGTGGTCTCAAGCCTTAATCTCGAAAGTCGAGGTTTGGAAGGAATTTGAGCATGCGGTTCTGGAGCTAAGTCCGTCCATATGAAAGATGAACGTTCGCCAAATTTGGTGTCAATCAGACGTCAAACAAACACTTCATGACAACGTATGACCATTCGCCAAAATCATGTTTATGCGTGAAGTATTGAAAACGATTCAAAATGTACTATAAAGGAGACATGATGTCCACTCTCCACCACTCTTGGTTCCTATGGCCTAAGTGAGATACCATATGGCACATGCGTGTGTCACAGTGAGGGCAAGCGTGTCGAGACGAGTGTCCCAAATGACTTCCTTTGAAATAGATTTTTCATGGATAGTACCTAGCGACACAAATGTGTGTCGATATTGCACCCCAGCCCGCATGCCGGAGGTTGATATATGCACCTACCATCCGGAATGGTAGTCGTAAATGACTTGACCTAGTGTAGAGGCAAGTAGACGATTGAACATGCACATGCAAGCAGCGTGTGGTCGAACAGTCTTGGATTGCGCACAAGCGATGTTCGATTGGCGAAAACAAACCTCGCTTAAGGTACAATGAAGCCACAAATTCGAGACGAGAAATATATATGGGAATTGATTCTCTTTAAGACTGGTCGTGAGCGTGTCAAGATCACGACGTCACATGCTTGAAAAAGTAGAACCATACACTGAGTATCTTGTGAGATCGCCCATCAATTATTGAAGAAGGGCCAACCTAAACATGTACCTCCCATAGCTATGTTTTGACAAAGCAGGCCCATGACTCCCCTGCCCAACCAACTGAAGGGGCGCATCAAGCAGCTCGGCCCCAAACCCATAGTCATGCCGAGAGGCGAGATGGTAGCGCACCTGCATGAACTAATATACACTCATAACTCTATATAACAAATACTCTTTGAAATAGCTTTTATAACACAAATCAAAACACATGCATGGCCTTTATTTCAAGAACTAAAAGCAGGGTCATGCCCTTTATTGGAGAGGAGGAACAGCAGATTTGTTCATTCAAGGCCATGTGCTTTCTTCATTTGAACCGCGCAGTCATAGACCTTCTTGGAGTCAGGCAAGGACTTGGAAACACTCTCCTTCTCCAAGCATCTCTTCGCCCAACCCATTATCTTGGGACACTCGGCCTCTATGCTCAACTTACCAAACGCCTCATAGCTATAAAACCAACTGTAGAATCCAATCAAAGCAATGTCTACAAACCCCAAACGCTCCCCTCCGAAGAAACCCTTCTCCCCTAGAACCTCTTCCAGCTGCTTCAGAACTCCAATCAGCTCCTTCATCCCTGCCTCTGCCTCTTCTCCCTTCCCGCCCCATACCTTCCTCCCCGCATCACAAAGCTGCAAGTTTTTCATTTATGTGAGGCTTTTTGGAAAAATTAAAAGTAAAGTCACGAAAGCTTATGCTCAAAATGGACAATATCCTATCATCTGTGGAGAGTTGTAGTTCCTGACATGATATCAGAACCATGTCAATAGAATTCGAAATGTCGAATAAAGTTACCTTTTTGTCGATGAAATCCACCCAGAATCTGGCCTGAGCCCTGTGATAAAGGATCAGACGGGAGGAGAGGAGCTTTGTCCTTCCAAACTTCATCGATGTACTGAAGGATAATGGAAGATTCACAAATGGGTGTTCCATTATGGACAAGAACAGGGATCTTCTTGTGAATTGGGTTCATCTGCAACAGCAAAGGGCTCTTGTTCCTCAGATCTTGTTCCATGTATTCATACGCTATGCCCTTCTCGGCCAGGGCTATTCTAACTCGTATCCCGAACATGCTCGGCCAGAAATCCAACAGTTTCACTTCATCCGCCATTGTTGTCAAATGGGAAGAAACTTGAAATTGTTAATGAAGAAGAAAGAAGAGTTTTGACTTTGGAACTAAGAATGGATCCATTTTATAAGGAACAAGGAAACATAGGACACATTGGAAAATTGGAAAAAGAGAGGCTAAAACACAAAAAGGAAAAACAAACAAGTGAATCAAATTTCCAAACTTTTATTAAAAAATAGACAAGGAAAAAGAATGGGCTCCACAGTTCTAAATTTCAATAGAGTTTATCATGTATATCATCATGATTGATATTTTATTATAAGTAAATATCGGGATATTTACCTTCTTAGTATAAGTGTCTTTCTTATATTGTTCTTTCTATTTATTACTCTTTCCATATTCTTTCCATATTCTTGTAGTTTATTTGATTATAAATAAAATAATTTTCACACTATTTAGGTATGGTGGATTATGGAAACATTCTCATGGTATTAGAATTCTTTCGGTTTAGCAATCCTGATCCTTTATTTTCAATGGCTTCCGAATACCCTACTCATCTTCTTCTCCACCACCTCTGCTGGCTTTGATGCTGCAAGGGCAGTCTCCATGACTGCCACATGCGAAGCTGATTGATTACTCTTCGGCTCTAGCCTTTTGACCTTCAAATCACCCTTCGCTATACTATGTACATACAACCTCACATTTTCCAACACAATCGATTTTCCATCAATCAACCATCTCTTTCATTTTCTTCCCCATCTTCCCTTTATCCTTTACTGAAACTCTAACCCAAACCTATCGACCTTTTGCAGAGATTTACCTTTGGAATCTGGACGTCGCACTGGCCTCTTCGCCAACCAAGTCGCTGGACGCCGCACTGGCCTCTTCGCCAACCAAGTCGCCGCCTCCCTTCTCACCAAAATTGGCTTCTTCGCCCACTGTTGCTACTCTTCCAGCTTTAACATTGTCTTTGTCCCTTGCTCTAGGTTTCCCCTTCTACTTTTTGAGTTAGACATATTCTCACCAGAGCCAAGGCAACATCGTCGCTAAACGACTATCCCTCTTCATGGATTAGACATTCTCGCCGAAGTCAAGGCAGTATTGCCGCTGAGCAACGATCCCTCTGCAGTTTTCAATGGACAAGAAAGTGTTTCTCTACCCTTCCTCCAAACCAGGTTGTTGACATCTTCACGAAAAGTGTTTCTCGAACTCTCTTAAATTTTTCAGATTTAAGCTTCACGTTTGTTCAAATCCGACGCTCAACTTATGAGGAGTGTTAAGGGTATTTAGTACTAAATTATACTTTACCATATATATTATATTTGATATTTTATTATAAGCAAATATCTAGATATGCTAAGATGTCTTTCTCTATATTGTTTTTTCTATTTATTTCTCTTTCTATTTTCTTGTAATTTATTTGATTATAAATAAGATAATTTTTACACCATTTAGATTTGGTGGATTAGGTAAACATATTCTCAGTTAAATTAACAAAAATACAAAACATAACCTTATTAATTTTATGATTGTTGAAAAAAATGAATGATGTTTGAGGTAGAAATCTCTATTTGAAAAAGAAATAAAAGTAATAGTTGAAAAACGTAATAAACAAAATCAAATTTGGGTATCCCATAATTGTCAAACAAAATGAGAACATGCTATTTGTAAAAAAAGAAATTTCAAAATGAGAATATGCTAAATAATGGCTATTTTCTTTAAATTCTTAACCAAATTACAAAAAGTAAAAACAAATTTTTAAAAGTTACCTTATTTAAAATTTAAAATTCAGCTCGAAAAACCATTAAATAGTGCCCACGTAAACTAAACTAAAATAAAAAAAAAACATCATATGTTCTTACGCTTTAAATGATTTCTAATAAAATAAAAATTTAGATGATTTCTAACCAAAATTAAAACTATAACTATAGTAAAGAAATTATCGCATTTTTCAAAAATCAAATAGGTATAAAATGATTCAAAAGTACTTTGAATCCTCAAGGCTAAGACTTGTTCTTGTCTCTCTCACATGGCAAGTAGTTTTGCATCCATAAAGGCTAAGACTTGTCTCTCACATCGCATATATATGGCAAACCTAACCTCTTTCTCTCTCTCACACACACATGCAAGACAATCCCTTTTCCTTATGACATGCAAAACTACACCTCATTCAAATAATCTATCCTAACATAATGGTTCTCTAACCTACTACCACATTAGACTAAGCAACCAATCAAGAATCAAGAGCCTCGTCCATTAGAAGACTTACCATTTAGATTGTTAATACCCGATGGGTGAGGCCACTAGCCAAGGTCCTCAATCAGGCAACTCCCATCTATTTTCAAACTATTCCTCTTCTATCAACAACTAACAAGTATGTGAACTAGACTTGACCACCTACATATCTACTACTACACATGATTATCGGCCCCTTTCCTTAGCCATGCTTCTCTTCAAGATTCATTTACGTTTCTTTTAATGGAATGTTGTTTATATATAAAAGTAAGTAAATAAATAAAGGTCCCGTACCATTTTAAATTCGTATCTTCCTTAGAGTGGGCAGCTTCCAGATCAGTCAATAATGAATCCCCGTCTGCATAAAAAAGAACAAATTTTAATGAATCCCCGTCTGCATAAAAAAGAACAAATTTTAATGAATCCCCGTCTGCATAAAAAAGAACAAATTTTAAGACGTAAAAGAATCATTTTCAATTTCATAATACAAAATAGAAAACGGTTCCTTAACAAATAATATTTGTCTCAAGATTTTTTATAAAAAGGATTTCGAACAAAGAACAGTACATAGATACCCATAAGTCAGATAAGCAGACAGCAGCTGCAACCGCTTGCACTTCTAAGTAGCTGAATTAGGCGACATTCCTACGAAGTCAGAAACCCACAAGTATACATAGAATGAAATATCACAACTCAAGTAAATGAAATCACACCCAAAATGAATATATTCAACTAACATTAAAGAGTGATAATGGACACTTAAGCTATGGTCAAATTAGAGATAGAGCAAAATGATCTAACTCATCTTAAATTAAATGAGATTATCATAAATAATTTTTGAGAAAAGAACCCATCTCAAAATCCTCATATTGATAACATAAGACGGTCTTCGATGCACATCATCGATTGAGTCAAGCTGCCCGCCTTCTACTTTCCTAAAACAATCAACGACATTCTCCCATTATCATGTTTCAAGTTGTAATAATGTTCCAAACAAGTTTAACAAAAGAAACAGCATTTGAAAACAGAACAGCTCCATCCGGAATGACCTCCAGATACTACAAAAAAAAAAAAAAAAAAAAAAAAAAAAAAAAAA